TTTAAATGTGGAAGGAAAATATTTTTACAATTCACTTGGTATTACAGCCATCAGCACTGGCGAAAAGAACAATTGCTGATCATATTTTAAACCCTGTGTGGTTTCAACTGTGTTTATATTTTTAAAATTTATCTTTAAAAAGAAATATCTGCAGATAATGTCCTTGATGTGTCTGTCCATATGAAAGCTTTTCTCCCCTCCTCCCTTAGACCATTTCCTTTTCTATTCATGTTTGAACTTTTYTCTCTTTGGCCAGTAGCCACAGGCAGTCAATATGATGCCTCCCAAGAACTTACACCGTGGGGAATCAGTTATTCTAAGTCAAGGTCTTAGGTATAGCCACAAAGTCTGTGAAGTTTTCACCTAGGCCCTTACTCAAAGCTCTTTTGTAGTCCTTCTTTAATAATGGCTGCTGATGAGCACAGTTCTTTCGAAGTCTTTCTGTGAAGACAGTGTTTATACAGTCAAGACAGCAGGTTGTTGATAAATCAAAGAATCCAAGTATTTCCCTTGGGATGGACTAAATATATCCCTGGAACACAAATGTTGCTCTGAGCTTTTGTTATGTCAGTCATAAAGTGACTGTTTGCTACTGTTTGAGATTCCTCATACCTTTGTTTCAGTGATAATATTATAAAGACTATCTATTTTCTGTTTATGAGCTGCTGCTGCCACCTATTTTTATGATACTGGAGAAAATATATGTCATATTATATGCTCTGTTACTATCAGCTTGTGATAGTAAGACTTCAATTGTTTTGGATCATTGGCGAAAAAAAAAGAAAAGAAATATTAGACCAGATTAAGGTGAATCCACAGTGAAAATTTCACCTTCTCTAAAGACTGCTACACACCCTCTGGAGAGCTGAAATCTCCTCTCTCAGGAAAATGTCAGCATTTGATCTGAAGTGATTCTTTTAATTACCAAAGAAAAATGAGGAAAATAATGTAATCATCCAAGGGTACAAGTATGTCTCCTAAATCAATCAAACTTTTTAGGAAATTCTTATATTTAATTATAAGATAATTTCTCTTTTCAAATCTGATAACAGTTGTTTCAGCACAAAAGATTTAGTAAAACTTTAACCACAATTTGCTGGGCTATATATACAAACCTAACTAAATATAAGAACCTTTCCTCTTTCCTTCAAGGAGTAATTCAAGATGAACAATTCTGGAAACATTGCACTTTGTGACTTGGTTTTATTTCAGAATAACAACAGTTTGATTTTTTTCCCCACTAAAAAGAGCTTTTTAATCATATCATTTGTAGCAGTCACATAAGAATTTTCTACTTCCTACTCCTTCAAAGGCATTACAGAATGGAATTGGCCACATACTGCAGCAGGAGATGTGTTGCACAGCTCTTCTCTGGCATCTCTGCGAATTCAGGAATAGTTATGTCACTGGAAAGATATGGGACTGGTCCACCCATATTCTTGCAGAAAAGGTGTTGCTTTTTCTCTCAAGCTATGCAAAGCCATTATCCTGCATGTCTTTGAGTTATTTTGCTGTAGTTCAGGTCTGTTAAGTCCTGTGCTGCGTATCTTCTGTTTCTTATGGCTCATACTCAGCTGTGGAAAGAAATATCAAGTAATGTAACCACTTTCTTCCAAGTTGTGGGCCAGAATCTCAGCTGGTGTAAGTCAGCAGAGCTCCACTGACATTATTAGTGCTCCAGTGATTTGCACCAGCTGTGGATCTAGTCTTCCATCTCAATTTATGAAGGGCTTGAACTAAATGTCAGACAATATGAAATGATCTCTTATAGTCAGCAGTTCTCCAGATGTGTTAATGGAGTTTAAGTTTACCAAAAGGCAAGACTTCAAAAAGTGATCCAACAGAAGAATAAACTTACAGGAAGAATGCCTTACTTACAGGCTTTTTGGCAAGAGAGGGCAATACAACTCACTGCAATTTAAAGAAATTAACTTGGTTATACAGCAGGATATGGTAACACAGTTTCAGTGAGAATCCAAGATTTAAAATTGTTTCACAGCACAAAGCAAGCTGTTGGCAAGTAATGAAGAATTGCCATGCAAATATGAATCACCCAGTCTTAAAGCACAAATTAAGTTGCTTAAGAACTCTTAACATAAAGAGTTTAATTCTTCCACTTTGCAAGTGTGATGGGGTTCATTCACAGACACAGTATGACAACTTTTAGAGATTAAATGAGGACTGTGTCATTACAAGAACACAGAAGCTTAACAGTTCTAGCTGTGCAAAGTTAAAAGTCATTTCACTATTGAAGTATTTTATAAATCTGATCTACTGTATAGTGTTGAAAATGGTTTACCCAGTGAGGATCAAGTTATTGTTGACATAACTATTCATAAGCATTGTCAGGCATGCTTTTCAAAATAAGAAAATATTGACATAGAGGAAGCCTCAATCGACAAATCTGAGGTCGTAAAGTATCTTTAAAGTATCTTAGTATTATGTGTATGTGCCTAGTACAGAACAGTGAAAGATTCCTAAGCAACTCAAAAAAAAAA